AATCACCAGGGCTTTAGATGACGGATGAAACATTTGTGCGGACGCCGGCTTTTCAGTAAATGGATGGTTACTTACACCCACAATTTGGTAAGCAAATTAGTGGCACGTCTAAAATATTAATGAGATGCGTATTGTGATGGCTAAAAGTTAGTAATCTCTATAAATTTGGTGTATCTTTATGTTTATTAAATTTGGCTAGTGGAGCACGCCACATGCCACTGTTTTAGTAATTCATGGAAGCGATAAGCCCTGAAGTGGCGGTGAAGAAAGGGACAGCTCAGCAGCCACAAGATCTTTTTGAAAGAGGAGATATTATGGATAAACAGGTAAAAAGACATCTGTGGTGTGACATACTTTTTGCTTTTTAAAGTCCAACAAGTTTAATAAAACATAAGGATGCGCCGAATTTATACAGTTTACTAACTTTTGGGTGTCATAATATACCTCATTAATATTTTAAGTATATTATTCATTTGCTTACCAAATTGTGAGCCTAAGTAAACGCTCACAGGTTTCGAAATGCCGGCGTTCAAACAAACTAATGAGATAAGCATGTGAATTAATAGTTACAATACATTCATAATTTAAGTGGCTTAGACAAAGAAAAAGCTTTGTGTATATGCAACTTTTAATATATTTAATCGTCCATTTAGCTTTAAGCACACTTGTCAAGTAATCAAACGTAGCTGACAATATGATTGCTAGTGTTGTCACGATACCAAAGTCACGACTTCAATATGATACCAGCCTAAAATATTTCGATTCCAATACTGAAACCATACCATAGCAAAAAAACTAAATTAATTAAAAATCAATGGATAAATTGATGACAGAAAACAGAATTCAAAATTTCTTCTATTAAATAGGCGTAACTACGTATTTTGTCAATATCAGTCACATTAATCATGTCACCACTTAGTGGTATTTAGCTTATTCCTTAGCATTATTTAGCCTAAATAATAGGCTATTTTTTGACATATCAGGACACAAGTGTTTCAGATCTATTTTATGCGTACAGGAAGTGAATGAATAAGAACAAATCTTTTAGGCTAACTTGATCAAATGAACAGTGTCACAAAAAATTGTCCCCATCCCTACTCTCCCGTCTTTGAAAGCTGCACAGTGAGAGATAAAAAGAAAAAAACGCCGACATGCCCACTGCGCTTGCAAGGAGATGGGAGAGGAAGTAGAGATGCTGACCCGCTGTTGCACAGCGACGCGAATCATAGGGAACCACGACGTCGTTTTCATATTAACATTGGGGGAACTTACTATGTCAGGGTCAGACATGTGACGTCCCATTGCGTTACCGGACGATTCTGTAGTCACGCTGTACAGTTTTTTTTTTTTTAATTTGTTAAATATTGCTGTCACAGTTGTAATATATATAGTGATAATCTTTCATTTTTACTGACATCCATCTTCACTAATAAGGCAGTTTAAGTAAGGTACTCTCCTGCATCAAATACGCTGAATTTGCTGGAATTATTAAAATTACACAAGACGCAAGATTCCACCACAAATGCCAGGTCTTGCACTGTGGAAAAAAATGAGCTCACCTAAGGGTGCCCCTGTCAGTCTACTACACCCCATCATCTCTCACAAACATCCTTTGTGGAAAGAATCACTTGCACAGACAACATATAAAACAGCAACTAGAAGATCTTCTAGAGACCCATAAGTAAATACAGGGGATTTATTGAATCTCTTAGCAATAAAAATGACTTTCTGACAGCATTGTTTATAAACTAAATGATTTTTGATGAGTTTCTGATAACTGAATGACTTACTCTATGCCAGTTTTTGCCAGGCTTCTTACTCATTCTTATGCCCTGACAGCAAATACAGTGGGATGAGAATCGTGACTGACAGAAATGCTACGTACCTGTGCGTTATCTGTGTTGCTATTTGCGCTGTGCTATTAATTAACCAAGCTAATTGCAGTTTGCAATAAGATATTATTCATGGAAACTGATCGACGAGACAATTAAATCCCACCCTTTCAGATAGTGTTTTATAGAATAACTCTTGGTTATGATACGAGGTCTTCAATGAGTTAACATACAAAGCCATACTGCGCTTTTCCACTCGCAGGTATGTGGTATCTTAGGTCCTGACCTGCGAGCAGAGTGTCTGGAGTTTAGACTAAACCATTTTAACAAAGGGTAGGGGTTCTCCAGGTAAAAACTCAGAGGAAAAAAAAAAACTTAAATTATTTAAATTATTCAATGGCTGAGTGCTTAACTAAAGACTTAAGATCCAATTAAAGGGATAATGTCTGCATGGGTTCGAACCTCACTCCAGGTAAATGGTTTAGGGGTGGCATGGTAGTGCAGTGCTTAGCGTTGTTGTCTCACACCTCTGGGACCCGGGTTCGAGTCTCTGTCTGGGTTACATGTGTGCAGAGTTTGCATGTTTTCCCCATGTCGTCATGGGGTTTCCTCCGGGTACTCAGGTTTCCCCCCCATAGTCCAAAGAAATGCTAAAGCTAACTGGAGTTACTACATTTCCCACAGGTGTGAATGGTGTATGAGTGTGCCCTGTGATGGGCTGGCCCCCCATCCTGGGTTGTTTCTCGCCGGAGGATAGGCTCCGGACCCCCCCACGACCCAGAAGGATAAGCGGGTTTGAAAATGGATGGATGAGATATTAATTGAATGTAAATACGGGGGGGTGGGCATGTCCACCTGTACCCCCCCCCCCAAATGTATGCTTATGATAGGGAAAACTCTTAAAAACCAAGACTAAAAAAAACAGAAAATAGTAGGGGTGGGCGATATACCGGTAGACACGACTAACCGGTAGAAATTTGTCAACCGATAGAGATTTTGGTCTATCGTCTTGATCGCGATTGAGATCACGTGACGTTGCACGTTTGGTAACCACGCAATACACTTTCACTTCGACAATGGAAGAAGACGGTGCAGCGGTGAGTTTGCTTACATGTGACGAAACCAACAACGAGGAGATTGTAAAGAAAAAAGGTGCATCGTCTGTGGTGTGGAATTGGTTTGGGTATAGGAAAAGTGATACGAATGAGACGAACGTGATTTGCAAGGTATGCAAGAGCACTGTTTTAGCAA